ACACAGAGGTAGTACTTAAACTCAGGTCTATCTGACTCCATAGCCCATACCCTTAATCAGAAGTTCTCAAAATTGCCTGTGCATCAGAATCACCTAGCAAATACCACATCAAAATCCTCAGAGGTAGGGCTCCAGAATCATTAAAGCACTCCAGCAGATTTTAACACAACTGGACCAAAGATTTGGGAAGCTCTGCTCTCAACACTTCATTATATTTCCTCCTTGGTACATGTCTGTTTGAATAAATGAATGTATGATGGCTGTAATTCTTCCATTTATAATCCATTTCTGCATTAAGGTTTACTCTCAAGCAATGATCCATTTTAAAATGCAAGTACTCCTGAGAGGCTATCTCTAAGTGTTCTGATATCTTTATCAGAGACTTGGTTACAGAGAAACTCAGCCTTGGTAGCTATGAGAGGTACCTGATTAAGGACAGGGTAGGATAGGAAGGATAAGCTAAAATTCGTACCACTGGTACCTCACAATGTTGCCTGGGGCTACCACTGCCTGCCTGTGTAGCTAAGTCTTGGAAACCTAGGACTCACTTAACATTGCTTCAAGTTTTTTTTGTTTTGTTTTGTTTTTAATCTTGTAAGGTCCCCCAGGATTGGCCCTTAGTTGAACAAGGCTTTTATCCCTCCTCCAAATCACCTGCTATGTCAGACATTACCAGTGAGTGACAAGGGCTCTTAGGGTGGTCCAGAAAGGTATACCTGCATGCAGTATACCTTCAAGCACTCCTTTATGCTCTCAAGCATACTTCTTAAAGGGGTAGTATCCATCTTCAAGGCTGGCTGCTTCTCAAGCCACTTAAGCAAAGGCAACACAAGTGTCCATCAACTTATGAATGGATAAATAAAATGCAGTTTTAGCCATACGATGGACTATTATTCAGTAATGAAAAGAAATATCAATGCATGATGTAATATGGATTAACCTTGAAAATATTAAGCTGAAATAAAAGAAGCCAGTAACACACATACAAAAAACACATATTGTATGATTCCATTTAATACAAAATATCCAGAGTTGGCCAATATATAGAGACAAAAAAATAGATTAGTGATTGCCTAGGGCTGGGAGAATTTGGTGGGGAATAGAAAATGACAGCTAACAAGGATGGAGCTTTCTTTTTGAGGTGATGAATCATAAAGTTCTAAAACTGTGAATATTGCTAAAAACCACTGAATTATACACTTTAGAAGTGTAAATTTTATATGTGAATTGTATCTCAACAAAGCTGTCCAGAAAGAAAAAAAAAAGGCAGCAGAAGGTGACAGAAGCATTGTAGTGAAGTTATGTATGAGAATCCTAAGATCGCCAGGCACCCATGACAACTGGAAAAGAAGTTCCCCTCCATCAGAGGGGCGGATAGGACCATGCTTACAAAGGGCTGTTCACGGTGAAGTATCCAGAAATTGCTGGTACCGGTAACTTTTTGTGAGGCTTTTTCTCTACTGAACACATTGCTTATTTTTTAATTATTTTCTTTTCCTCAGCCCTAATGGGACTAAGTTCACAATAATGCCCAGACTAAAAAATATATGAAGTCAAGCACAAAAAAACATTCTTCTGGAAAGGATTATAAATTAAAATGTAAAATACGACTGTTGCTTTGCACATTTTTGCTACAAGCAATATCAGAGAGCTTGTACTGATTACTTAACAGTGAGAGAAGTATACTGTTCAAACTAGTAACAATGTTTAAAAGTGGGACAAAGTTCCATCCAAGTCTCCATGTGTCAGAGCTGCCACCTCCGTTTTAATCCTCATGGCCGTAGCCCGGTTCAGGGCTGCATTACTTCTCGCCTGGACCTTTGAAGTAGCCTGATTTCCTGCCTCCAGTCTCTCCTCCCCAGTAACTCATCTTCCATCTCACTGCCTGTTACTTTTCAAAATTGCAAGTCTGAGGCATCGCGGCCCAGGGAATAACAGCCTGGGTCCCAGCATCCAGCTGCTTGGATTTGAATCTGGGCCTGCCTGTCAACTCAGTCACCTTAGGCAAGTTACTTAATCTTTCCGTGAATCGTTTTCTCCCTATTTTTAGTGAGGATTAAATGAGAGCAGTATGTCAAGTGCTTAGTCCAGTGATGGGTTCACAGTAGTCAATCACTGTACGTTTTTATTATTACACTTATATTCAAATGCTAGGATGTTTTTTCATTGCTATATAATGAAATCTAATCATCATCAATGAAATCTAATCATCAGTCATGCAGGAGGCTATGAAATTTAACCTCATGCTGTTCATAGCCTTCTCTAAATGCATCAGGCAAATTTGTGATTCAAAAGTTTTTCTCAAGCTCTTTTCTCTGCCATATCTGTATCTCCAAATAGAAAAGCCCATTCTTCCTTCTGGATGACTATAAGGCTGTGAAACAACTGTGACACTCTTTTCTGTGTGGGGTTTGAGAGAAGTTGACCAAAGCGAGTCAAATGATGAGTAAAACAAACCAGACTTCCTGGTGGACTAGATAAGAGAAATGAGGCATAAAAGAAGAAGGGTTGACTTCTACTTTCAAATCCGGAACAGCGGTGCATGTGAAGGTGTCATTTATTGATATGGGAAAAGATGGTGGCGGGGATAAGGTTTCGAGGGACTAGCAGTAAAGACATATGCATTAGTTAGGTTAGGTTTGAAATGCCAATCAGATATCCAAGTCGATTTGGTAAGCAGTGGAATATATGAGTCTGGGGTTTGGGAAATGGTCAGGGCAATGAATATAAAACTGTGAGTCATAATCCTATAGGTGAGGCCAGTGGAGGTAACTTTGGGGATGCTCTGGGGACCAGCAACATCTAGAGATCCACTGGAGGAAGGGAAACTGTTAAACAGATGTGTGTAAGTTTCCTCATGCAGTACCTGCTTGAAGTTAAGCACTGTCTTATTTATCTTTGTGCCTAATGTGTTTGTTATACAAATTTTCAGTAATGCTTGTTGAATTCGTTTGAATTCTCAAAGCGAAGAATGGTTCCTCTTAGAAGTCTCCCAGCATACACTAATGATTTGGCAACATCTGCAAAACACGCATGAAGAATAAGTCCAGCATCTAGCTTAGGGTGGAATATTGGTGGACAGATTCATGACTGCCGGAGTCAGGCAGATACCACTATCCCCTCACCTTTCCCTGTCCCCTTTCCCTAGGGACAGTCTCCCAAAGGCATAGCCCCAGTGCTCCTGGGAGGAATGGCAGAAAGCCCAGGATCTTAGCATGGTCCTCAAGGCCGAATACCAGGGGTTCAAGAGAGCAGCAGCTGCTGGAGCATACGGGCGGTCAGTAGGAATTCCCATTAGTCCTGGACTGAAGCACATCCACGTACACGATGCCCAGTTGTCGGAAAGGTCACGTCGGAGACCTTCTCTAGTATCTTGTCATGTTTTTCCCTTTGACTTTACCAGTTTAGTATTCAGATTTTTCTAATCTCCTTGCTCCTGCGAAGCATTTAAGAATTTGTAAATCAAAACACATTGCTCTTTTTCTCTCACCTCTTGCTGCTTCTGTTCCGATTCGGCCCTCGTCATCCTCCACCTGTGCTAGGTCGGCCGCGTTCTACCCCATCTCCCTGCCTCCGTTCTCGTGCCACTCTGCCACAGCATAACCACGCCCATAAGCCCTGCTCTGTTTGTCCTTTCGCCTGCCAAGAACTTCAACAGCTTCCCCGTCGCTTACTGAAAAAAAAAAAGATTCCAAAATTCGGAGGTTGGCATTCCAGGTCTCCCATCACCTATCATTCCCAAGCAACCTTTTCAGCCCTAGTGCCCAGCAACCATGTCCTGGGTTGTAATTAATCAGGATCCCATTTTCCCCACAAAACAGTTACTGTTCTTTCTCTTTATTGTATCTCAGCACCTGCCATTTCTTTCACCGAGGATGCTTCACCTATTTCTCCTACTCACTTCTCAAGTTCTAGACCAATGCTGCCTTCTTCAAGGAGCTTTTTTTCCCTCACCCATCAGAAGAAGTCTTATCTATACTTCTGAAACAACTGGTTTATTTTATTAAGGCAGTTATTAAATAAATGATTATGATGAAGATAGACAAGTAGATGATAGATAGATAGATAATAGATAGGTAATAGAGATAGAAGTTTTCATTTTTTTTGCATTGGAACTCTAACTTAGTTTCAATTTCAACATACTGTACCTAGCATAGCATGTAGAAAGAACTCTAACGATATTGACTAAATAAATAAGTGACCCAATTAACGCAGTATAATTAATCCCCACTTCTCACAGTTTATCCACTGTATAATTCTAGGTCTTCATATATCAGATTTTGTTAAAGTTAGGGTTCTTTAGAGGGTGACCATGAGGTATTCACATTGGTGACTTTCTTTCACAAATACTAATTAAGTACCTGGTATGTCCCAGGCCTTATGATGGCTTCTGAGAAGCAGGTTGTAAATAAGAGCAACACATTCCTGCCTTCACCAAGTTTACATTTCCATGGAGGTGACCACAGTTAAGCAGTAAGGGCGGGTAAGAACTTGGGAGTGGTCCCAGAAGGAACTGAGGTGGAAGCTGAGATCTGAAGGACTTGTAAGAGTTAGCCATACTACTCTGGGTGTGTGGCAAGGGGTGAGGATGAGGATACAGAGAGGAGCACGTGAGGAGGCTGGGCAGAGAAAAATGAATGGAGTAGGAAAAGCCCTTATGGGAAGAGAGAAGGAATCAGAAAATTAAAAGGCATTCCTTATGGCTAGAGTGCAAGCGAGCGAGACGGAGAAGGGAAGGCTAGGGGAATGGGCAGGTTAGGCACGAAGAGCACCGACGGTGTGAGAGGGCCCGTCCACTTTTCACATGATTTTCCAGCAATCTTTCCAAAGGGCTGGTCTGATCATGTCACTACTTGGCTTAAAATTTTTCCAAGACCATGGCATCTACTGGAGAGGGGACCCCTCAGGAGGAGGCTCTTACAGGCAGCTCAGCCTGAGAGCGACTGGCATTAGCCAAGGTCTTTGCCACAGCAATCACGACTGTCTCTGCCTCTTCTTAGGGCTTCCAGGGCAGCGGCTAAGGAGACCTTACCAAGGAACACCACGCACTAGATGCTGAAACATCGCACTCCGGGATAAGAAGCAGTAACATGGCAGCACCTGTTTGAAAGGAATTAAAAACCAATAGACTCCATTCAGAAAAGAACAATGTCCAAGAAAGGGCGAAATAAGGGCGAGAAGCCCGAGGCGCTCATTGTCGCCCTTCAAGCTGCCAATGAAGACCTCAGGACCAAGCTCACAGACATCCAGATAGAGCTGCATCAAGAGAAGTCCAAGGTGAGTGAGGGTCCCGGAGGTCACAGCCTGGAGAATGGCTCTGGCTCAGCTCTGGCTGCTGGCCCTCCTGTGTTCTCTTCTCTGCCAGTTGCCAGAGGGGGAACAGCCCCTGTAGTACGGAGATTCTCTTGTTTGTGGCTAGAGGCAGTTGAGAACGTGAGAATAACATGCTCTTGAGGCTGATCTCCGCTTCCTCAGGAGGCCTGGTTCAAGAACCAAATATGAAACTTGAGGCAAGGACCCCTTACCACTCCTACATCCTGATGACACTTAATAGTTGTGTGACTTTGGGCAAGTCATTCTCCCTGTGGCATCTACAGCAGTCTTTCTAAACTGTATCACATCACGTCAGTCCACTGCTCAGAACCCATCAGTGGCTTCTCACCTGTCTTGGGGTCAAGGGTTTTCCCTGCTGCTGCAGGATATTTCCTCCAGCTCTCTCTCTGCTCCAGCTTCTCTGCTAGACCAAGAGAGATGCCTACCACGTTGAGGGCCTTCACTCCTGTTCTTACCCCTCACCTTTCAGGTGTCAGCTGTGGCACTGTTCATCTGACCACAGTCTCTACACAGCACCTCCTGTGCCCAGGTCCTCCCTGTAGCCTGAGTATTCTTGACTTATTTCATAGAAAATTATATATTTATTTTATTTACTTATATAGTGCTTATCTCTCCCCAGTCAGATGTAACGTCTATGAAAGCAGAGACTTCCCTTAAACTTTTATTTCTCAAGAGCCCAAGTATAAGTCCAGAACTGAAAAGCTCAACATATGTTTGTTAAATGAGTCAAGGAACGAACGAAAGATGATTCATTCCCTCTACCTCGGTTACTTCATCAGTGACACAACTACTGTCTGGTAGAACTGTGATGAGGTTTAAATTATTCAAGTACATAACATAGAGATGAGGATTAAATGAACAAATTCATGTCAAGGCTCAGAGCTGCCTGGCATGTGAGAAACTCAAAAAACTGTTAGTAGTAACATCCTTTCTAATATGCTCTGCACTTAAATCAGGTGTAACTAGACTTAGGAAAGCCTCTTTACTTCTCTGAACCTTATCTCTTAAGTGGATTTCCCAATGCATATCTCTCCAGAATGGTGCAGATATCAAATAGGGTTATGGGTAGGTTTGAAACATCCAAGATGCAAAAGACATTTTTGCTTCCTGAAAACTGGAAACAACCGTATCAGCACAAAGTTGCCTTATCTAGATAATTCTTTGTATATAGTAAGAATATGTTCTTGATCAAATTATACGTCACAAACCAACAATAGAATATCCATATTCTATTTTATCTATATTTTCCTCCTTGACTGCTAATAAACTTTAGTTATTTTCCTTCAAATCTATTTCTCCTGGTTTTAGCGGTAATAAAGCTTAGATCTGCCAAAGCTCCTTGCTTCTTGTCTCAGCTAAACCTTAACTTTGGATAAATACATTCCAATGTAAAGTTTGTGAAGGAAATTTTAATTTTTCATGAAGCAGAAAGGAACATGATGTTGTTTTAAAAACAAAACAAAACCACATTTGTTTGAGAGTCAGAAGACCAAAGCATTTTTCTTTCTTTCTCCTTGGGGACAAATTTAAGTATCTCAGTGTCTCGATCTGTAATCCAGATGACTGAATGTGTTTCTCCATATCTGTGCCTCTCAAGCATCACTGTGCATTAGAATAACCTGAGGGAACTTATTAAAAATTGAGATCCTTGGTCCCACAATCTAAGGATTCTGATAAAATAACATGACGACAGGCATTTCTAACAGACAGTTCAGGGAATCCCCCGGCAGGTGGTTCTCCGCCTCCATGTTGACAAACACTCCGCTCTAAGATTCCTTTCCAGGTCCAACAGCCAATGAACACTTCATTGGTTTTAACTTTCCTTGGGGCAACATAACGTTTCTAGAGAGGCAGACTTGTTTAATTGTAGTAACAACAAGATGACAAACTGCATTCATAGGAGAAAGCCTGGTGCTCTGGAGACTGGTAACCACAGACCGGCACTGATTTGCAGAGAACAAACTCATGAGATTTCAAAGAGGCAGAGGCCCCGAGGACCCCACCACTGCCAATTTTCCACACATTCAGGTCTTTTATAATGGGTGACTTGAGCCTGGCCAGGGCTGCCTGTTTATCCAGCCCGGCACTGGTTTCTGAGACAGAAAGGTCAGTGTAATCTCCCCTTCCTCTGACAAGAGACTGGAAGCCAGCCTCTGGAATAAAAGCACTCCCTTGATCCTCCCCTCCACAGGCTGCCTCCCTGTCTCCCTCTCCTTGGCAGTTAATTACAGTCCTAGCACAGGGACCAAAGCAAAGCCTCACCGCCTGTCAGCAGCCTTCTCCGAAGAACAAAGGGAATTTAGCGGGCAAACAAGTCATAAAGCAGTTTTATTAAATATGATTGTGTTTCCTAGGACCCAGGCTTTAAGAGAATATGGGCAATGCCAAGATGTGAATTCATACTCTTAGTTTAGTTCCAAGACAATGTAGCTACTGGGGAGTAGACTAGTTAGAGAGTGGGAACCTTTGGGGCAATGGAGCATTACTTCTTTTCCCAGAAAGACAAATCATTCCATTGATATTTACAGATCACGCTGTGTAGAGAGCAGGGTCATAAATGCTTTGGGCCGATAATAGAAATAGCTACACTTTATTAAATGTTTCCTATCTGTCACACACTGTAATAAGCACATTTCCTCCTGACATAATCCCAGCTCTTTCTCTCAGCACCTGAGTGACCCTGTGCAGGTTATGAAATCCCCTTGTGTTTTCCTCGCCTCATCTGTCAAGTGGCATGATAGTAGTGTCCACTTCATAAGGATGCATGTGTGGATGTTCGTTTCTGAGCAGTTAGTTTGTGTCAAGCATGTTAGGTGTTTTAATTCATTATCTCATTTCCAACTCACTGCTACCCTCTGAGGTAGGCACTATTCTTCCCATTTTATAGATGAGGAAACTGAGCCTCAATGAGGTGAAGTAATTCACTCGGAGCCACATGCTAGTAGCTGGCAGAGCTGGTTCTTCAACTCTCCTTCCCTCTTCACCACAGTCTAGGCCCTTATTTTTTGATATGTGTTCCTCCCAGTTTTATTGACATATAACATCATATAAATGTAAAGCATACAACATGATGACTTGATACATTGCAAAGCGATGACCACAATAAGTTTCGTTAACAGTCATCACCTCACAGTTAATTTTTTTTCTCGTCTTGAGAACTTTTAAGGTCTATGATCTTTTGCAACTTTCAAATACATAATACCATGTTATTAACTATAGTCACCATGTGGTCCGTCACATCCCCGGACTTATTTATCATAACTAGAAGTTTGTACTTTTTGATGACCTTCACCCGTTTCCCCCACCCCCTACCTTCCACCTCTGGCAACCACAAATCTGATCTCTGTTTCTGTGAGCTTGTTTTTTTAGATTCCACATATAAATGAGATTCCATAGTATTTGTCTTTCTCTATCTGCCTTATTTTACTCAGCATGATGCCCTCAAGAGTCATCCATGTTGTTGCAAATGGCAGAATTTCCTTCCTTTTTATGGCTGAATAATATTCTGTTGCATGGATATATTACATTTTCTTTATCCGTTAGTCCATCAGAGGACACGTAGGTTGCTTCCATGTCTCGCAAAGCCTGTGCTCTTAAAAAATGTGAAGGACTGGAAAAACCTGCAGACTTTAGGCAGAGGATGGGAAAATGTTAGAACTTTCTTTTCCATTCTCGTGTAAGTTTAGAATGGAGAAACCATTGTGGGGGGCTTAGGAACATGCCCATATCCTCTCCGCCCCACACCACGGCTTCTGCATTTCCAGCACAGGAAAGTGAAACAAAATTGTTAGACACAGTCACTTCTCGTGAGTAGAAATTATCTAAAAGATTTGCCAAGCACTCATAGGAATAAGCACATAGAGAAGTAGGTCACTTTCACTGCACTCCAGCCATAAGGGCTGAGGGGACAGAACTGCGGATGCCCCGTGTTGGGGAGAAGAGCACACAGTTGGGTCTTTGTGCTGGATGACCATGCTTTTTCTGGGCCTGCGTCTTCACATTTAGAACATGAGTGGAGTGGGCGAGATAGAAGGGTCAAGGTCCTTCCAAAACAGTAGGGCTTAGTCAGGAAAGGCAGCTGCCTGCTCCAGCTCTTCCTACGTTGAGATAGTTTGCAGGACCTTTCCGTGGTCCCACCTCCCTGAGCGCCTAGTCTGGTAGCACTGTCCCCCTCCTTCCATTTACTCTTCCACATCACCCTGTCAGAGTTTTGTCATAGGCCTCTGTACTCTCTGAAGTTATTTTATTTGCTTGTTTATTGCCTCCTACCCCACCCCCAATAAATGTGAGCTTCTGTGGGTAAGAGACCGTGTCTGATTAAGGTACCCCCTAAGTTGGGTATCTCCCATGCTTAGAATGCTGCCTCACATACAGGAGATGCTCAGTTCTTCATGATGAATCTTCATGATGCCTTTAAAAATTTTTCCCAACAACACCACAGCGTAAGTAATGGTATAGCATTTATGTGGGAACCCCTAGGCTCTGGGGGAGAAAGGATTTCCATCCAGGTCCGTCTATTTCTTGGACCAGCACTCTGAGCCATTAAGCTACGGTGTCTTCCTCTGATTGTCTCTTCTGTGGACACTGTGAGGCTATGATCCGCTGCTCAAGGTGTGTGAGCATACCAGGGATTGCTGTGAGACGTGAAGTCCACCTGCCCACTTCCCCAGGGCTTCCTCCTGTCCCTCAGAGGCAGCCTGCAGCAAAGTGACAGAGGAGATGAAGGCACAGGAGCAGAGAGCGGGGCTCCAAGGGTCGAGGCAGCGGGCAGGGAGCCTGGAGTGCAGGGTCGGAGGAATCAGCTCCAGAGAGGAGTTTTCCACCGTTGGAGCAGCCCTTCCGACTGCAAAGCATTTTCACAGTCCTCTTAAGTGCGCCTGGGACAAAGGCAGGATGCGATTTCACTGAGGGAGAAAATGAGTTCAAACCCTTTAACTCATTTG